AAAGGCTTTACTGAAGTCCAGGTAGACAAAACCCACTGCACCTCCCTCATCTGCTAAGCGGGTCACCTTGTCATAGAAAGACATCAGGTCAGTCAAGCAGGACCTACCTTTCATAAACTAATGTAACTGTTCTATCATTTTTAGACTTAGAAAAACTGAAAACAAAGAAATTACTTTTCCTAGGTCATTCTTTGGCACATGACCGAGACCCAGAAATAGAGCCCTGACCCCCTCGCTTACAGACGTTATAGGCATCAGACCACACGATTCCTTTGGGCTCTCCCATCCTGAGGACATTGTCTCCATTCTTTGCTTTAAAGCTGGACTCTGACTCAGCTGGGAATCCCAGCAGCATTCATCATTCACTGTCCTTTCACTGGTCAAGTGTGGGAAAATTGGCAGCCTCAGCAGTGCAAAACATAACTACTTCCTCCCAGAGAGAGCGCATGTTAACTAGCCAGCACTCCCAGGACAAGAGCAATAGGCCATGGCTCAGGTAAACAAACACAAATACACATACACACATCTAATAGCCTATAAACTGCTCATATATAGCATTATGAACTAAAAAAGTGTATAAGCATAGGAGACTTACTGTGGAGGCCACCACAGCACCTTTGCAATAACCATTACTTCATAAAGACATCCAGTCTAGTCTTGTAAAAATATATGTAAATCTTGAAATAAAAAGCTAAGTTAAGTGCAAATCCTGGAGCTCATTATCAAGATCTACGCTCATTTTCCCCACCATTATAAAAATCAAGAATTTAATGAAATAAAAATATTTTTCCATTCACAGTAGTAATGAGCAAACATTTCCATTTGTCATCCATGTGGACATACCAATCTTCTGTATCACAAACCCCCCTATTATAGAGATTATTATACAGTTTACCATATACTGTATTAATGTATAATGTGTAACTGTATTCCATAACATGTATTATACAGTATATTGTATAATACAATAAAAGTTTATATTACATAGTTATACATTTACTATTTAATACAGCTCCGTAGCAGGTGCAGCTTCAGATCTTACCACCTCATGGTTGGGCTGTATGGAATTCCAGCATCACAAAACTATAGGTTGTGCCATGTCGTGGTTTAACCCCAGCCCGCAACTAAGCGGCACACAACTGCTCGCTCACTCCCCGCCACAGTGGGATGGGGAGAGGATCGGAACAGTAAAAGTGAGAAGACTAGTGGGCTGAGAAAAGAACAGTTTGATAATTGAAATGAAATACAATACAATAAAATAAATAATAATAATTCGTAATGAAAGGGAAAATAACAAAAAGAAATAAAATCCAAGAAAAACAAGTGATGCAAATGAAAACCAATTGCTCACCAACAACCAACTGACACCCAGTCTCTTCCTGAGCAGTGACCCCCTGGCCAGCTTTCCACCTAGTTTATATGCTGAGCATGACGCCATATGGTATGGAATATCCCTTTGGCCAGTTTGAGGCAGCTGTCCTGGCTGTGGCCCCTCCCAGCTTCTTTTGGACCAGCTGTCCTGGCTCTGTCCCCTCCCAACTTCTTGTGCACCCCCAGCCTCCTCGCTGGCAGGGCAGCGTGAGAAACTGAAAAGTCCTTGACTTAGTGTAAGCACTGCTGAGCAACAACTAAAACATCAGTGTCTCACCAACATTATTCTCATGCTAAGCCCCAAACACTGTACCAGCTACTAGGAAGAAAATTAACTCCATCCCAGCTGAAACCAGGACAGCCTTGACAGTTTTTAAGTCAAAGAACTTGGAATACTTATATCGTACTTCAGGAGCTCTGACAGTTTTTCATTTCTACTATGTAAGTTCTGAGCTCAGATGATTTCAGTGTCCAGGTTTTATAAATCAGAGCTGAAGTCAGCACCACCAGCCACATTCTCATTGGGGAGAGGAGGAAAGCCAAGGTCCCATAAGTTCGCTGCAGGAAATAGCAGGAATAGACCTGCCAGGCCAGGAGGAGTGCCATTGCCAGGTGAACAAGCAGAGCCACGAGGCGTCGGACGTGACGGATGTGAGAACGGAAGCTGTGACCCTGGCATCGCAGCAACAGGCACCAGCACAGATAGGCCGTTAATGGCAGGTTGAAAAACAACATCTGAAAAGAAGAGCAGAGAAAAATAAGACGAGGAGCAAGCCAGGTGTTCTGGGTGACACACATGAGGGCATAGAAAGATAAGAGCACATAAAACTGTCCCATTCTAAGGGATGAGTGCAATTCTCAGCACTGGAATCTTGGGATGCGCTTCCAAGGCTCTGCAGCTGATAGAGCTGTGCCTGCCTGAGTCCCAGGCCAAGTGTTCCTGCCCTCTCCCTTGCAGTGGGAGGCCCTGACATACATCTGACCTTTCTTGGAGCTGGTTCAGGGAGCTAGACTTGGCAAAATACTAGCACCGTAAAACCGGAAGGTCCTTATGTCTGTTTAAGCTCTCTGACCCAGCCTATGGTGGTGTCAGACAAGTGTCAGCACTGGCATAAGAGAGGGACCATGAAGGAGGCAACACTAGCTTGGTCTGGCTTAAATGCCAAGGAACTACACCCTCTCTTCCAGACTAATGACAGCTGGGAAAAGCAGAGGGTGGGCAGGTCAGACTGCTGGGAAAACTGCACTTGTGTACTTGGAGAGTGACACCTGCTGATCAGAAGGGCTGTTCAGTGGGCCAGGGCTGCCCAGGCCGTTCAGTTCCTTTTGCTTAATCACTGCAACCTTTGCGTGAGCCAAGGACAAAAAAAAAATTCAGAGTGGTAAATCTGTAGAGATGGCCTCTAACCCAGACACCCAGGGAGTCCAAAGCAACATCAAATAGAGAAGAGAAGTTTGAGAAAATAGCGTGCAACCTCCTTCCTTTCTGCCCTTTACATTTGCAGAAAGTTAAGAAAGAGCTGTTGTAGTCAGGCATGACCACTAATCTCCTCTATCCTTCCAAGACTCATTTCTTCATAAAACTATTTTTAAAAAAAAAACAAAAACATAAACCACCAGAAAGAATTCCCAGAAGAAAGCAGTTTGTCAGCCTTAATTTTTATAAATATGTACCTGTAAAATCCCAACCACAAATGTCAGACTGCCCTGTAAGAAGGAACCACCAACGAACACCCCAAAGGAAAAACAGGCCCCCACGTGGCCATCAATCAGTTCACCGACAAACCATGGTCCTGAAAGAGAGAAAACCAAACACACAGCACCATCAGAAAACACAATACAGACACGACCCTTTTTCACATGGCCCTCTCTACTCCTGAGCACAAAGTGATTAACTGGGGAAAATTACTTCGCTATTGCTTCTCTATAGTAATAAGCCTAACGTTTTAATCTTCAACAAACAGCAGTCTGATGAACGTTCCTGATGTGAAAATATCATGGTACACCAATGAGTTGTGGCATGCAGTGAAAATACTATTAAGTTGTATTAATCTCTGTGACAATTTTCAACACCACATGTAACATTTTCCTTATGAGAGAAGTGAAAAGATAGATCCTTCCAAATGCTGGCCTTTTCCCAGAATTACAGTAAGACATATGAAAGACATGGTCATAAACAATTCCAGCTTGGCTCAGCTTAGGAGTCAAAATGGGCAGGCAGCACTGTGTTATGCGTACTACACTGACTGCCAAGTAAGTAGCTATTTTTAGTAACATATTATAAGAAAAGAAGTAAGCTAAAATTGTTAGCATCAGAGCCAAGATGTCTTAGTGACATGTCATGTGAAATGTACATTCCACATACTCATTTTACACTAAGGTACAACAAGATCTTACTCAAAGAATAAGTGAAAACCAAATTAAATTTAAAAATACTCACTTTTCTTTCAGAGTAATCTAAGTGTTTAATTAATTCTAGGGTTTCCAAGTTAGGCTGTTATAAAAAAACCTTTAGTATATTTGGAGATTAACTTTTCAAGTTCCACTTAGATTTTGTAACTTAAGTAGATTTTTCCCCATTGTCCAAGATGTTAGAAGTCTCATTTTTCATCAGGATCTGATGTGCAATTTAAAGATACTAATTTATGTTCTCCAGTACTTTAGGTTACTTACCCAGAATGGTGTATAGATTCAGAACCAGAATTGAGTAATAGAAGGTGTTTGTTTTACTGAAGACATGAAGGGAATACGAGGTCAGAGTAAGTAATCCTGGCTTTTCTAAACAGAGACAATATTTAAGAAAAATACACTTGATTCAGGTTGCAACACACACACAACTGATCTTTCTGAAACAAATCTGTACATTATTTACTCATTCTATTAAATAAGAAATATAAAACCAATATTTGATATGTCTACAGAACAAACACAAGGGAATGCACTTCTACTATTACTGTGATAACTGAAAGTAAGGAACCAATAAATACAACAATCTATGTTAAAAACAGCAGAAGAAGCTGCCATTCTAAATGAGTACTCTTACGGCATGCAAATAAAACTGAATGACCATTCTATACCCAGAAAATGAAGTTAGCTAGAATGAGAGAAAGTTGGAGAAAGTTCATATTAAATGAAAAGTAAGAGACTCAAAACAGTAACTGTGCCAGGTCAGCATGGAGTAGGTTAACTGGATTTTCTTTGATTAAATCTACTTAGGGAGATCTGATAGCAACTCAGATAAAATGAAGGCTAGGTGTTAAAATGGCAGCATTCTGACAAGTCTGTGATGTTAGCAAAAAAAAAAAAAAAAGCAATATTCATTTTCTAACTGAAGCAGGCATAGACTGAGATTGAGAGTGCCTTCCTATACAAGTTAGCTTTTAGAGTTTCAGCTATCACATGGCTGCCCTTCTCACAAAGCATTAACTCCCAAAGGGCAAGCTTGACCTTTGGAAATCAACAGCTCTAACAAATTTGTTCAGTAATTTGTAAAACATTTGTCATGGTCTACAGGGACCTAGCTGATCACAGAGTGCTAGTTCTTTTCATTTTTAGCTGCTGAGTTCCATAAAGGCAACTGAAAGTCTATTATTTTTCTATGCAAGCAGTTGCTGTAGTTACCTCAGGATGCTACGTGATTATAAGTATAAAGGAAGGGACATACACTGACATGAATAGGAAGGGAGGTGGCTTCCAGAAAAATCTCATTAGTAAGGTGTGGTTCAAACAATTGTTTAAAGGATAAACGCCACTAGCTTAACAGTATTAATTTTGATTTAGCAGATTTATCACAAACAAAACATCAAGTTATGACAGAACTGGTCTTAATATTATTTTGAAAAAGATCTAAGCCTGTTCATGTTTTTTTGCAAAAATCAACAAAAATTATTTTTGTGGAAGGAAATCTGTTTCTCCGCTCCAGTTGCGGAGAATTCTGTGCCAGTTGTAGTGAAAGAAGCACACATACAGAGCTAAGAAAATAAAACATCCCTTTCCCTATGCATTGGATTCTTTAGTGAGAAAATGAAATGTTTAGACTTCAATTAATTGAATTTCTGTTTAATCAAAGATACCTGATCAAGTTTTTAGTTTTCAATTTACTTTATTTGATATATTGGAGGTTTTCTGGGTCTCCTTAAAGGCAAAACAGCAGCTTCCGACAACCCAATCAAACCCCACAGCACTAGATACAAAATGCATATGGTCATTAACAGCGCAATTACTTGCATATTGTTAGCATACAGATAAATAGTAAAAAAAGTTTAGGGAAAATTAGATCCTCTAAAAACCACAGACAAACATTGGTTCATACCTTTGAGCACTGGCCTTTGGAGGTATCTGAAAATAACGAGCAAGGCAATCTGAATCAGCACAATCAGCCCAAAGAGCACACGAGCCTGAAAAGACAGTTTTAACTCTTAAGGCAGCCCTGGTGCAGCAGCCGCCTTTGAGCATGCCTTATGGACATTGATAGAACGCTAAAAAGATTTCTAGCTGAAACACATATTCAGAGCTTGATGGTGACATTGAACTGAAGAGCAAAAAGAAACTTAAGAGTTTCTAAGTTATTGGACTTGCATCTTACTGACTTGAATTCAGTTGGATGGCTGAAAGTGATAGACCTGAATCTTTAAAAATATAGGGTTTGTAAAGCACATCCATTGAAAAAGTGTAAATACACTTCCTATGTAAAACATTTTCTGAGTGCTGTACTGAATAGAACTGCAGTTCAAGACATCGTGGAGAATATCAGTTACAAATTAACAAAAGTAATATAATAATTTTGAGCCAATTATGATACAATCTACAGTCATGGGGACTTCTCTGTGTTGTGCACCTAAACTCCTATGACGTGCCTTCTTTGCATGTACTGAGCTGCAACACTTCTGGATACAACCTGGAACTTACTGAAGTCAGTGGGAATTTTGCCTTCCTCTTTGCCAGAGCTAGCTATAATGTCAGCAGCTGATCCGAGACTTTTTCCAGCATTCTTGCCAGTACACATATTGCAACAGATCACAGTGAAGTTTTCTCTGATTTACTATTTCCTTTTTCTACTATCTCCAGTAGCTTCTTTTCCATTTCTTGCTTGCACAGAATGTGTGCATACCTATGCCCCAAAACAGTTAATTGTGACTAAATCCAGGAATTCAGTTGTTTGCATGAACCATTGCTCCACCTTCACGTTTGAAGCGTGCAACTTGAGAAAGGAAACTGGAAATATTTGAGAAATTCCAATGGAATCGTATTTGTAAAAAGCAAAGTGCATTCAAGTCTACCAGGAATTAGGAAAATGCCTCCTGCAGTCTCTGGGGAAACCAACATGGAATGACAGCTGTTGTGCTGGAAGTACTTACTAGAACATAGTAGTCAGTGAGAAGAATAAGAGATGGCCAAAAGCCAAATCTGAGAGAGAGGTTTTCTTCCATAGCAAATATATGACCCTGCGTGCTAATTCTTCCTGAAGCATCCTAGATTGATATAAAACAAGAGAGCAATTAGAGACCAGTAGTGCATAAAATATCTAATTAAGTTGCTAATTATCATTGCAGCTTTTCTGGGAAGATCCAATCGACGCATGCATGTCTGGCATACTGCTGTATTAAATACTTGTACCTACAAAGGATTACTTACTGTCAGTTTTGTAGTTTCAAGTAAATTGGTAATTACAAGATCATATTCTGAAAGTGCTACATATGAAGGAGATCCTGTCAGAGATTCAGCAACTTGTAGAAGACAGTGACTATTTATTGTCCCCCCTTCCTTGCTTTCTGAAAGCTGAATTCTAGGTAATAGCCCATCTTAAAATATTTTGAAGCTTTGTTGTGCTTCTTTTCCGACGTATTTCATAGAATCATAGAATGGTTTGGGTTGGAAGGGACCTTAAAGACCATATTGTTCCAACCCCCCTGCCATGGGCAGGGACACCTTCCACCAGACCAGGTTGCTCAAAGCCCCGTCCAACCTGGCCTTGAACATTTCCAGGGATGGGGCATCTACAGCTTCTCTGGCCAACCTCTTCCAGTGCCTCACCACCCTCACAGTGAAGAATTTCTTCCTTATATCTAATCTTATCTTCCCTCTTCCAGTTTAAAGCCATTGCCCCTTGTCCTATCACTCCATGCCCTTGTCAAAAGTCCCTCCTCAGCTTTCCTGTATGCCCCTTTAGGTACTGGAAGGCTGCTCTAAGGTCTTCCCAGAGCCTTCTCTTCTCCAGGCTGAACAACCCCAACTCTCTCAGCCTGCCTTCCTTGGAGAGGTGCTCCAGCCCTTGGATCATCTTCGTGGCCTCCTCTGGACTCGCTCCAACAGGTCCATGTCCTCTACCACTCCCTTCCTCAGCTGGGCAGGGGAGAGAAAATATAATGAAAGGCTCCTGGTTTGAGATAAGGACAGGGAGATCACTCACCAGTTACTGTCATGGGCAAAACAGACTCAACTGGGGCAAATTAGTTTAATTTATTACCAGTCAAATCAGACTAGGATAATGAGAAATAAAACCAAATCTTAAAAAGATCTTCCTCTCACCCCTCCCTTCTTCCCAGG